TTGATCCCCCAAATATATTTTTAATGAGTCCCAAGAACGTACCCGTGATAATGCGACATAAAGTTGTCCATGATTGAAAATATCTCATCTGAGGTCAATCCCAATTTTCTCAAAAGTTTGTCCTTGTGATTTGTTTATTGTCATAGCAAATGCTAGTCGAGTAGGAAATTGCCTTCTCCCAAATACAAACGGATAGGTGTCATCATTATACAAAGTTATACGACATATGAAAACTATTTCCCCTGCTCTATCGCCAGTTAAAACTTTACATTTTAGTAGATGGTTTGGTAGTTCTAAAATTTGAAGTCTAGTTCCGTTACATAAACCTTCATTAACCGATAAATTTCGAATTAACATTACAACCGCATTTATCCTCAACTTTAATTCATGAGGTGGTAAATTGGGAGGATTCAAAGTCTCCAAATACTCTGGTAGCAGCGCTTCAGACATTAGTCCATCATCACATTCTTTGACGGTGTTAATACTCGTATAAATTTTTTCCGTAGATTTATCCAATAATTCTACAACTCTAATTAATGTCATCTACATCGCAATTTCTTGCCGATAATATCGCCCACTTTGTAAATTTTTCATCACGGCATTCTCTGATGACTTCTCCATAAATATCTTCTGCGATATCAGCATTTGGTTCTGCAAGACAATTTTCTGGTAGACATAAATCAAAGTCATTTATGTTAATAGTCCCACCACCTACTGATAACAGAAATTTAGTGAATTCGACTTCCTCTGGTAATGTGCGCATATTTTCCGTGCTACAAAATATGGAGAATTCAGGCCATAGAGAGCTGAATTTTATTGATAAATTCACCAATTCACTGCGAGTAGCAAATCTTTTAACTGGCAACAGTTGACGAAAATCACCTCCCAGTAAGATGAGTTTTCCTCCAAATGATTGATTATTATTCATGATATCACGTAAATTACGATCTACCAACTCCAGAGCATGTCTCGGTGCCATTGGTGCCTCATCCCAAATGAACATATCAATACTTTTCAAATATTCGGCTTCTTTAGATTGAACTTTGAAGTGTTTGCGATGAATCTTTATACAATGCAATTGGTAATTTAAATGTTTTGTGAACGGTTTTGCCACGTGGAAGCAATGTTGCTGCTATACCTGTATATGCCATGGTACACAATTTCTTCTCTCTACTTCGTAGTAAATGATATAGCGTAGTATAAATGAATGTTTTTCCTGATCCGCCAGGTCCGTCAATAAAAATACATCGAGCTTCATTATCAGTTATGTCATTCAACATTTGATTCAAGATAGTGTCAACAATATGTTTTTGATTTTCATTGAGTTTTTCATACTGTTCGGTACCGATAGTAGCATGTTGTACAGGCAACATATCATCATCTTCAATATCATCGATATTGGCGATTTGTGGCATCGAAGGGAAGTCCGTTAAACTTGATCCCTCATTACTTAATAACGTATTTATTTGAATATAAGCTTTTAAATGAGCTTGATGTAAAGACATTCCTCGTGAATAATCCTCTGCTAGTGAATCTTTGAACTCCTCCCATAATTCTTCGGGATGAACGGGCTTGCAGTGGATTAAAATATGCACAAATAATTGTCTCAATTGTCTAGGCATCATCCAAATCTTAGCTTCATGCATGACAGTCATCCATTCATTATCATCTTCAATTAAACCTAATGCTAGGCATGTACTCATGAATGTCGGATGTGTTACGTTTACTGTTCTTAAATCTTCATAACTCATTGCTCCTTTCATAGATGTTAATAATAATCGAAGATGAAATAATTCTGTCTGTGTAGGACTAACTGAGTATATTCGACCAATTACATTGAAATGACTTTTTCATTTTTCCCAAATCCACTCACCATTTTTCTTTTTGAACGTATAATGCTGCGGTATTTCAGCATATGTGAAATTTCTCGCTTCTGGATCTTGCTGATTCAGAATAAAATACGCAGTCAAGGTTGTATTTTTATTCAATGCACCCCGAATGGCATCAGCATTATCAATTTGATCGATCATAATTGTTTGTTGATTCGGTAGATGTATTGACAATCGTGTGATACTGTGGCTTTTATTGTGCATGTGGAAATTAAAAATACGTGCACACGCTTCCGGAGGACTGACATAGCGTGTTTCCAAGAAATCTTTAATTTCATCATGATTAAGAACTCCTTGATCTACATCTGAATTAGATTCTTGAATTAAAATAGCGGCTGCATCAGGACCTTTATAAATGTATTTATAAAGATATTTGACGGCTTTAATATTGGAAACAACTTCTACATTAATGTGACAATTCAGACGTTGCAATAACTCTTTGTTGTGAGGAACAACGTTTCGATTGTCGAAAACGAATCCATCACGACGCGTATATTGTCCGGTATCTCTACGTTTGTAACATGGGTAGCCGTCTTCATCCATTGTAGTTTGATTATTGAATATTTTTGGATATTTTTTTGAGCATTGTTTATTATCATCCAAACACCAATCACCGCAAGGACCGTGAACCATGTTATTTTTTTATAATTTCGTGTAATTCTGGGTTATCAGTAGGACTCGTGATTTCAGCAGAAATGTATTTGTCTACGATTTCTGGAGTCGTGATTTTGGAGTTGGTTCTCAATGTCAGTAACAAATGGACGTGAGGTAAACCGCGTTTTTGGTATTCGACGACATGCATGTGAGCCTGAACCTCTCCAAAAAATTTCTCCTTTGTAATTATTCTCAATAATTCATCTTTTTTCAATTCAAATGCACGAGCTACTAAGTCTGGTCTGTCTGATGAGGTTTGTCCATCGAGTAAATTTTCGGTTATTTCCCTCCATTTTGGATTACAAGTCATAGTGATAAACAAATCTGGCTTGCCGAAATGACGGACCATCGTCATCGAATCTTGATAAGTTTGTAACATATAACGTAGTGAGCCCATATGGGACGATGGCAAAATGACTATTTTACCAATACGACTATTATTATCTTCAGCTCGTTGTCGTAAATGTTCAATCACATTCTTATAACAATCCACACGTAGTGTCTGTTGTATAGAACGTAAATAATTCATTCTATCTTTTTCCATTTTCACATAACTGTCCACTGTCCATTGTTGGAATAATCTGCGTCCTATTATTATATAATTTGGTTCAGGTCGAATCGCCATTCGATACTTGAAATAAGCATTTCTTGTGATTCTGTTTCTTCCGTCAATTTGTTTCATATCGTCAGCCCAGCCTCTAGTTCCGTGTGGATAAAACAATGGATAAGTCCATGGCTCAGCAAATTCATTCATTGAACTAACATATTGCAAGACTTTATCTGATCTGTTTCGAATATTAATATATGATTCTGGAATTTCTCCATCTGCTGTTGTTGAAAAAAACTGCTGCAACTTCGTTAACGTGCTGAGAATTGTAGCGTCGTCTGTCTAATCCTTTTCTTAATGTGAATAATAATTCGAGTTCTGGTTCAACCCCATTATTTCGTGCAGTCATCAAATCTAACTCTTTTTTCATCATTTGATATGATTGAACATGTACATTGCACACTCTCATTGCATTGTCAATAGATTGGACAACTTCTGCATTCAAATTTGAATTTGAATTCAATCTATAATCTGTCGCTTCATTCGAATCAATTATAAATAGTTGTCCAAAGCTAGGTAGTTCATTAGCAGCTGGATACAGCGATCTATTGATTTGGTAATAAATTTGGCCTTGAATTTTAAAACAAAAAGGTCCCCGTCGTCGGTTATTGAAATTCACTAAATTAGCGTTGAATGAAGCGACAGAAAATGAATTATTATAGGAACGAATATTCTCATAGAAATGATTTGACTTTTCATGTATGCCATGGAATAGTTGTTTCAGAATCTCCGGTGGACTTGGTAGATTTTCAACAAAAACTTTTCCATGACTGCAGCAATCATTAAAAGAGTTACCCTTATTTGGAATTTTTTCCGCAGTGAAATGCAGAGCCTTGCAATGGACGCATGAAGTATTCATGGGACCAAGATAATGTTCATTAATTTTGTTAGTTGTCTGTGTAATAATCACGTGACCATTAACATTATGTGTGAATCGATTACGCGTTTGTGAATGAATTGGAACTGGATTTTGTGATATCGAATATGTTATGGAATTAGTACATGATGGCTGGTTATTATTACCATTATTTACCAATTGACAATTCGATTCTGAAAATCTTAGAGATGTCATTTGAATTTCATTATTGGTTTCTCTAGAAATCGGTCCTAGAATTTCCCTGCCAGGGACTGAGTCTAATAAAACCGGCCTTGCTTCGTTATCCAGATTATTCACGACAATACAATCATCAATTCGATGAAAAGGCAAGCTTTGGGAAATTTGACTGTTCGTTTGTAGTATGAATTCATTTGCTTGCAATTCAATGGAATTATTTGATCAATGACTTTGCAAACGGATTTTCTTGTTGATGTGTTTTGTTCTGCATTGGCGTTCCAATTTTAAATAGTTGGAGTACCTGTGGTCATGAGAGATCGCGTTGAAAACATAGTTTTGAGAAATTTCGTGAGATTCTAAACACGCAGTTGGAGGAATAGTCATCGTAGGAGACTCTTCATTGGATTTATGAAGCCCCAATTTTTCATGGGAGAACTCTAATTGTCTTTTCGGCATTTTCACTTTTCCAAAAACTTTTCTGTTAAAAGATCGCTGTCATTTGTTCGAGTAACTGGATAAACATGTGAAAATTTGGTCTACTTTGTCTAGACAGCTTAATTAAACTGCAAATAATCTGGTTGTTGGTCTGATATTTCTGTAAATCTGTATTCTTTCTGTGTGTCTGAATATTTCTGTTTATCAATCTGTAAAAACTCTGTTCAATTTCTGTTATAAGGAGTAGGATAGGAATTGGGATGAAATTTTATTTCACAATAATTATAAAAATGAGTAATTATTCGATTCATTAAATACAATTAAACGTAGTCAATATCATTATTTTTTATTATTGATATTCTGATGATTGATGTGCAGTAGCGCCCTGTTGCTACAGATCTGTCTAATGTATTCCCCTGAAACAAACATAAAAATGGCTTTTAATAATAAAGAAAAACAACTTATAGTCAGTGTAAAAAGTATCTGTACTCCACTGAATTACAAAAAAATGAATTGCCTTTTTTCTTCAATCAAAAATATTTCTATGGTATGTCCGCCTCTAAGTATCAAAGCACATTTAATTTGGATTATATATATTGATTTCACATTGGCGTTTGAAATTCGTAATTACTACAATATATAATCATATTGCTATTATCTTTAGCAAACAATAAGTATTTCTCATTAATTCCTGATTAAATTTTTATACAAATTATTCATCTATGGCCCGGTTGCACCAACGACTTTTAACCAAATCGTCAGTTAAGAACAAATTTAAATTTAGATGTTTGATGGATCAATTTTACCAGGAGAGTATCTCAAATTTACCGCATGAACAAAAAATAATAATTTATCCTGGGGTTAAATACGTGTTGTGACCGTTCAATATTTAATTAATATTATTTCCTAAAAGGGGGATTTAGGGCAATTAAATAATGAGGACAAATGAGGGATAAAATTAACTAAATATCTATATTTCTAGTAATTTACAGATTAGACCGTCGTAAGACGTTTGAAATGCCTTTTACTTGGATCTAGGGTTATGGGTAAGGCCAGGCAACTTTTGTACATGTAAAAAGAATGCAACTAAATATAAGAAGAATAACTAAATGGGGAAGAAACAAAAGAATGTAGGCTCACCGTTGGGGGGTATGAAGGGTAATATTGTGGGGACAAGAGGGAAAATGAGGGGGGTAACTCGTACTCACGATGGGACTTCACTCTGGCGAACACGTGGAATTCCACCGGCGCCTTGCACTCCTTCAAAATACCAGGGCGTTTTCCTGGAGAGCCTCCTTTCCACCTCGGGGTTTCCTGGGCACCAATACTAGAGCTGGGATGAGCTCGATGTATCGAAAATCCTCTTTTTATCCGCCAATACTTCCGGGCGAATTTTACTGTATTCACTATTACTACTTTCGGGGCACGTGGCGACTCACGGGGCAGCTAATGCACGAGTGACGGTCTCTTCTTTTCCTTCGCGATTCGTGGGGGTTCGTCAGGTGTCGATGTCCCTCGGGTTTTAATTCGGGAGCGATCGGGGCCAATCAGCACAGGTGAGTGGTGACGATGACCACAATCCAGGGATGTCTCGCAAGGGATTATTGCTGGTGGTGAATATTCGGGGGTCTAGTACGGGGAATTTCCAGGAGGCGATGGCTTCTCCAATTGATCGGGTGGGGCCGGAACTGATGTCTTCCTTCGGCTGATGTCTTCGTGATGTCCAGGGGCAGGGGTAGAGGGGCGATGAGGGGAAAAGTGAGGGAAGGGGTATCCAACGGTGGCGGGATTTACATTTTAGGGGGCAGTGTGTAGTGGGAAAAAATATGTAGAAAAATAATAAAAAATAAATGAATATGCCTCGTCACAGCTGTCCCGGGGGTAGAGAATACGTAGGGTTTCAATAACCCTGCGTTGAACGATTCAGACCTTTTACAAGAAATTTTTCAGGCTACTGCTCCAGGGTAAGAGAGGCTGGAATGAAGGCTCAGACTATTAGGAACAAATTTTACCAATCATTTCACTTATCATACGGGGTATCTCCCTACATTTTCCCTTATTCACTAATAATTATTTTTGTTTTGAATTGTCGAACTCTAAATATTTTTCATTGGCTCGACAGCTCAGGTACCACAACACTCTCATCCTTACTTCCAATTAATTGAATAAAATAATAATATGATCTCAAAAAAAAACAAAATAACTCAAAAAATACTATTCAATGGCCCTTTGGATAACAAAAGGAAACTAAAATAAATGTCTTTGGAAGGGCGAGGGGTTAATTTCTTGGGCTCGGGGGGGTTGTCTGGGGGATCAAATCTAGAGGAATAGGGCCGGTCTGAGGGTAACCAAGGGGTCAAGGGGGACATTTGATTCGTCAAGGGGGGAGAATTTGATTTTTGGGGAGCTGAGGGCTCCTTATGGGTCTCGAAGGGTTGGGGGATGATGTGACTACTAGAACCTAAACTAATGGAAATTCTATCCACAAGTAATTTTAAATCATAATAATTATAGATCTCGGGGCAACTTATTACAGTCATGCTTTCATCGCACCGACTGATTATATAATCTCTCATATTCTGGGGTATTTCGGACCACATTGGGTCGTGCGAAATATTTTTTAACCTAATCCTAACCTAATTCCACGGTTCTTATAATGCGTCAGGGCCCTCCCAGCTTTCTCTGAATATTTTAAGCCTTTCTTTCAGATCCGGCTGGTCATGGTCCCGGGGGTAAAGAGGACATGGGGTGGTTTTCTGGGTTCTCCGGGTGAATTTTCTGGGGGTCTGGGGGTATCTTGGGGTCCTATGGGGAACTTAGGGGCTTACTGTCCATTCTAGGGGCAATTCGAGATGAATATTTTCGATTTAAATCTCGGATTGTCCCGGGGGTACAAGATACATGGGCTTGTCAGAAAGTTCTGTTGAACAATCATCATCATTCTACTTTATTTTGTGAAACCATAATTCTACTTAATAATCTAACCTAATACGGGGCCTATTTTACTGGGTGAATTTTTCTTATTTCCTGGGAACAATAGATTTTTCCTACTGACTGTTCCGATTCTTCAGTTCACCTACTCTAACTATTAAGACTGAATCCTGTGATACCTGTGGGATTTTGGGATATCTTGGGGAGTTTTTGGGAGTGGTCGTGATTCAATGGGGTTTTCGGGGATATTTAGCAGGACTTGGGGGTTTCCAGGAAATTTTCGAGACTCTATGGGATATTTCTGGACTCTCCGGATCATTCTGTGGAATCTTGAGACATGGTGGGATATTCCTAGGATTCCTGGGGGATTGAGGGTTCTTCTAGGGCGTTCTGGTATGTTAGGGGTCTTTTCTAGGATCTCTGGGGTCTTCTTTGGGGTAGCTGGGGTAACTGGAAGGGGTTCCGAGGTATTTGGAGACATTCTGGAATTTCCTAGGGGCTGGGGTGACCTTGATTCTACTAAGTGAAAGTGGAGGGCTGACTTGGTTTCACTGGGCTTTCTATCAACTACATGGGGACGAGGGATTCTAAGATTCTCAGGTGGAGGGATTGGATCCAGATCAAAGAGACGGGGGCTTTTCAGACTCCTGATTGTAAGACTTCGATTCAGGCTGGGGGGACGGGGAATGTTCAGGGACATGAGGGGGGGGATTGGATCTAGGACGGGGATCGGGAAATTTTGAGGGACATGAGTGGGGGGATTGGATCTAGGACGAGGATCGGAGAATTTTGAGGGACATGTGGGAGGGTTTTGATCCAGGATGGGTGGCTGGGGAATTTTGAGGGACATGAGTGGGGGGATTTGATTCATCTGGGGAGGGAGTTTGGGATCTGCAATTGTTTTTCCTTTGAGATCGTGGGCAATTATTTTCTCTCTACTTTCCTTCTGTGGTTGTATGGAATGTGCAACGACTGATCCCACAACTTTATCATTACCTCTGCCCGGGTGACCTGATGGGTCGGTGAGCATTGCTTCACTACTACTGGGGTTTCCAAGGGTTTGAACGAGGGGTTGATTCGGTCCCAGGGGAATCTGGGGCACTGCTCTGTAGGGTCCTGGGATGTCTGCTCAAGGGGTAGGTTGGTTGGTCCGGCAACTGCCAGGGTGGCTAGGTGGGGCTGACTGGGATACGAAGGAACTGAGGGCTCTAGGGCTTTCGAGGGGCTGAGATCCACTGTACTAGTTCGAGGCTGACTGGGGGTAACTTGAAATGGTCCGAGGGTTTGCCCCGTCTGTAGTCTCTCTTTAGGGCGAAGGTTAAATGAACCGTCTGTTTTTGGGGTGATATGGAACCCTACT